CTCATACCGTGTGTTGTCCAATTTGCAAATTATATGATCAATTAATAAATCTCTAACATTGTTTTAACTTTTAAAAGTTATTCAGCACCTCAATGACATGCATATACTGCTGTTCCTTGATTTTGCTGCTTTAGGTAGTATCTATTCACTTCCTACTATTGAAATTGAGGATTTAGAGGTCTTACACTCCCATTTTCTCCATTTCCCCCTTTCCCCGTATAGTTCTAACATAATTTATATAAAATTATTTCAACAGTATGCCATAATTTTGATTGGGTCAATATTCAATGTTTACATTATTTGAGTAAATAATTATTCTTAGCTGAGCATGAGCTAGTCTCAGCCACAGAAAGTGGTGTCTATGAATACATTTCCTTTTCTGTATGACTTCTAATGTTCATTGGAGTTAATCATTATTTTTTAATTTGCTTTGTTGTCTATGCACTTCTCATTCTTTCATCCTCAAACACATCAGATGTTCTGTTACTTCTTCTTGGTGACCTTCCTACTGAGGCTTTTGTCTGATTTCTTTCTGTGCCTCGGGAGAAATCAGATGGAAGTGATTTCTGGCCTTGGTGGATGGCACCTATCAGCTCTCTTGCTGTCTGGCTTCTGGTTTGGCCAATGGGAAATCCCACAGGAGAAGGAGGGCATGAGGAGAGCAGGTCAGGATATTCATTCCTTGACTCTCTCCCTGATGGGCAGGCTGGGTATGCCACTGCTCCTTGCCAGTTGGTACCCTCTTCTGTCTCTATAGTTCCTTGAGGGTTCTAGTAAAAACTTCCTCCCTTTGCTCCTTCAGGCCTGCTGTTAGGCCTAGGGTGTCTCACCATCCTTGATTTGTTTCTCTAAACTAATCCCACTCAAAACTCTCCTCAATTACCTGTTTGAGTGGTTGTTTCCTGCAGGGGCTCAGACTAATATCTAGAGGTCTTTCCTGTTCATTGTTGTTGTTAGGTGCCGTTGCATTGGTTCTGATTCATGGTGACCTTATGTACAGCAGAACAAAATGTTGCCTGGTCCTGTGCCATCCTCACAATCATTGCTACGTTTGAGCCCATTGTTGCAGCCACTGTGTCAATCCATCTTATCAAGGGTCTTCCTCTTTTTCACTGACCCTCTACTTTACTAAACATGATGTCCTTCTCCAGGGATTGGTCCCTCCTGATAATATGCCCAAAGTAAGTGAGACAAAGTCTTGCCATCCTTGCTTCTAGGGAGCATTTCTGGCTGTAATTCTTTAAAGATAGTCTTGTTTATTTTTCTGGCACTCCATGGTATGTTCAATATTCTTCGCCAACACCATAGTTCAAATGCATCAGTTCTTCTTTGGTCTTCCTTATTCATTGTCCAGTTTTCACATGCATATGAGGTGATTGAAAATACCATGGCTGTGTCAGATACATCTTAGTCCTGAAAGTATCATCTTTGCTTTTTAACACTTTAAAGAGGTCTTTTGCAGCAGATTTGCCCAATGCAATAAGGAGTCCTGGTGGGGCAGTGGTTAAGCACTGCCTGCTCCATGGAAGAAAGATGTAGCAGTCTGCCTTCATAAAGATTACAGCTTAGGAAACCCTATGAGGCAGTTCTTCTCTGTCCTATAGGGTTGCTATGAGTTGGAATCAACTCCATGGCAATGAGTTCCCTGTACAATCTGTGTAAAATAACCCCCTTAGCAATCTCTACCCCACTTTCTGTTTTTTGTTTTTCTCTATACCTTTTCATCACTACCACCTGACATATATACAGGATTTATTTACTTATTTTGTCTTCTTCCTAAACTAGAATGTAAGCGCCATTGCTGTGGTTTTTTTCTTCTTTTTTGCATTCAATTAATATTTGTTAAATGAACGAATGAAATAATTTTCCTTTGGAATTTTAAGTTTTCATCCACTGTCCTGCAGTTATCTATGTTGCTATTGAGACAGCCAAAACCATTCTGGTTTCTGAATCTCTGTAAGTGGTCTATTTCTTTCCTCTTTAGAAATTTGTTGGATCTTCCGGTGTTTCACAATTTCAACTTCTGGTGCCTTGATGCAACTTAAAAAAAATTTTCTTTACTCATTTTGATGACTCATTCTGAAAGTGTTTCTTCAGTTATTTCTTTGACATTTTTTCCTCACAGCGTTCTCTCTTCTCTGTTTCATAACTCCCACTTGTTACAGAGTAGAACTGCTCCATCGGGTTTTCTTGGCAGTAATCTTTACAGAAACAGAGTGCCAGGCCTTTCTTTTGTGATGCTACTGGATGGGTTCATATCGCCAACCTTTAGCTTAGTAGTTGAGTGAAAACCACTTGTGCCATCCAGGGACGTCTAACAAAGGATTAGTACGTGTAAAATCAACTGCCATTGAGTTGATGCTGACTCATGGTGACCCCATGTGCATCAGAGTAGAACTGTGCTCCATAGGGTTTTCTTTCTTTTTTTATAATGTATTTTTGTTGTTGTTGTTGTTGTTGAGAATTTACACAGCAGAACCTATACCAATTCAACAATTTCTACATGTACAATTCAGTGACATTGATTATATTCTCAGAGTTGTACAACCATTCTTACCCTCTGTTATGGATTGAATTGTGTCCCCCTAAAATATGTGTTGTAAATCCTAACCTCTATGCCTATGGTTATAATCTCATTTGGGAATGGGTTCTCTTTGCTATGTTGATGAGGCAGTATTAGTGTAGAGTGTGTTTTAAGTCAATCTCTTCTGAGGTATAAAAGAGATTAAACAAGCAAGCAAGGGAGCAGAGATAGGGAAGAGAGATGCCAAGCCACATGAAGACCACCCATAAGAAGAAGCTCAAAAGAGACAAGGCCCTTTTCCCACAGCCAACAAAGAGAAAAAACCTTCCTCTAGAACTGGCACCCTGAATTCGGACTTCTAGCCTCCTAACTGTGAGAAAATAAATTTCTGTTGGTTGAAATCATTCACTTGTACTATTTCTGTTATAGCAGCACTAGATAACTAAGACACCCTCCTTTTCCAAGTTGTTAGAAAGCTCCTTTTTGAAGCACCCTTTCTTGCGACATACATGCAATATCTTCTCTTAAATTTCTGAGAATAAGAGAATGATAGTTATTTTGAGGTTTTCTTTTCCTTGTATTGTTTTGGTTTATTCCAGATCCCCTCCCCACCTATTTGTTTTGCTGAGTCTCATAGGAGAAGCTTTCCTTAAATGTTTAGTTTAATTATATTTTAAAATGGGGATTCTAGCGTGGGCATCCCAGGCACAGCTAAGGCAAGGGTTTGTGCCTGACTGGGGTATTTAGGGCACTGATGACACCACAATCCCCTTGCCCCCTCAGCTCCCAGTATGCAGAAAGCCATACTGGTTGGAAGCTCTGTGTGTGTGGTAAGGGAGAAAGTTCTTGTCACTTGTAATCCGTAGGATCTCTAGATCTTTTCTCTTGGGCCCATCCGATTCCCCAGAGAAGAATCTGCTGATCTCTGCTAAGGCCTGGTGGGATGATATAAGCCTGCTGCCTGCATCCTGGGAGGTGTCCAAGGAGGAAGGGAGACTAGGGGCTCATAATTTTACCAAATCCCCCAGTTTTAAGGACTGAAAATTTGTCCCCAGTTATGCCTGT